TGCTGGGGCATGACATGGGTGCCCTGAGGAGCTGCCAAGGCTTTCCAAAGAGCAGAAGGGATGGAACCATTCGATTTCCATCCTAGCCAGAGATGAAGAGACTCTGCAGAGAAGGGAGCTGTGCCCAAGGTGTGCACATCATGTCAGCAAAGACTGGGTGGGAATCCCACCTTGCCATGTTTTGCAACCCAAAATGCCAAATATTTTAGTGCCTGAAGTTGCAACCACTGCAACAGCCTTTCATGGGGGTTTACATGGATGTGTTAATTAACGAGACCAGGTGAGTCTCTGAGCTCCACGGGTTAATTATCACGAGGTGATAACCTTGTCATCACCAGGTTTGGTACCTCCAGCCAGAGGCTGCCCACCCTGGCACAACCCTGGCTCCCTGTGGGGCAGAACTGGAGAGGAAGGTCATGGTCCCCACGCCCAGAGTGCCACATCTACCCCCACATCCCCTCTTGGGATATCACTGGGAGCAGAGACATCACTCCCCCATCACCTCCCCCCAGCACCTCCACCAGCTTCACTCTGAGTGTACCTTAGCACAGGCAGCCTCCTAGACCCCTGTTTACAATAATTTTTTTTAATTTCCCAGGCTCCATTCTGAGCAAGCTCTCCATAACCTTATTTGTTTCCACTAGACCCTGGTTGTCCTGCAGCCTTTGAAAAAAAATCTGTTCAGCTACCTGAGTTATATGAGCAAGAGAAGAAAAAAAAGGAAAAGAAAGAAATTCTTAATGCTGGGAGAAAACAGCCCTAAACCCAGCTGACAATAAAAGGGGAGCATTACCTTCACCACAGGCCCATCGTAGCTGCAGTGGGATGATGACAGAATCTCTTTGTTGCCGATGATTTGGGATGGGGATGTGGGTCTGGAAGGCTTTTAAGTGCCAGTGGGACTCGATCTCGACCCATCTGATGGAGTCAGGGGTAGGCAGTGCTGGCCAGAGCCTGTGCTGGGCTATTTAAGGTCTGTCCAAGGCACGTCAGCTGGGCTTTGTGCTCTGAGACACGATGGGCATCCCTGCAGTCAGAGCACTCACAGGCTGGGAATGGAGTGTCCACAAAAATGTCACGTGGGGAAACCTCTGGGAACCCGCTGGGAACTCTCCCCAGGTGGGAGACTCTGTGTCCTGGGCAAAAATCCCCTGTTTTTTAATTAGACCTTTTAGTTACTGCCGAGGGGTGAGTGGCCCAAGGCACCGGAGTGGCCTAAAACCCAGGACTGGTGCAAGAGAGTCAGAGGGATGGAAGGGGCCAAGGAAAGAATCTGGAATGCCAGGATGATAATTAACTCTTTTGGTTGATAATTAAGACCCTTCTTTTTTTTCCCCCCATTAAGTAGAAAACAAGTGACAACCACTGCAGTGGGGATGGCTCAGGGACCACGTCTGGGCAGCCCCCGAGGGGGTGCCTGTGACCCTGGGGAGCAGCACCCCAGCTGCCTGGCCCTTGGAACTAAAAACTTCATGTTTATTCCCTGATTCTCTACTATTTGGGGGGAAAAAGATCCCTTTTGCTCTCGCTTTCTTGCGCAGGATCCCTGTTGCAGCATCCTCAGAGCATCCCTGGGCTCTCCCAGACCCCTGGGAAACAGCCAGAGTTACATTTTGGAGGTTATGGCTGAGATGCACTCGGGTTTTTAGAGTGGATTTTTTTTGTTGGGTTGGTAGGTTTTTCTGGTTGGTTGGTTTTGGGGCTTTTTTGGTGGTTTTTTTTGGTGGTTTTTTTTTGTTTTTTTCCTCTCTAGATAATCCTCTACAGCACTTTGCTGTGGGGATTTTGGCAATGCACCAGTCTTGAGCTTTAGCCCTGCAGAGACCCCCCCAGGTGCCTGATGTGTACAATTGCTTGGGCTTTATTTTGAGTTATCCTGTTTTCCCAGGATTTTGGCACGTGGCAGGTCCAATGCTTTGGCATGTTAGCAGTGAATTAGTGCTGAAAACATCCAGAAAGGTTTGCAAACCTTCATTTTCCAACCTTTACAGCTCAGGAATTTATGGTCCTTGGACATCCAGGACACGTGAAATTTCGGTGTGACCCCAAGTGATACAAAACTGCAGCTCCTATAAAATAAGTTTATTTGTATTTTCTGCTCATCTAAACAGTCACTTTATGGTACTTCAAACTAATCTGCCTTGTCAATCCCCAACTGAAACCTTTTGGAGGGTTAAAAGATGCAGGTGGAGGGGCAGAGCCACCAGTAGTTGAGTAATTAAGCTCCTTTCCCTGGTTAATGAAGGTGAAAACCAGATCTCGGATCCCACAAGGTTTGTCAAACCCCTGTGTTACAAAAGTGGTGCTGACAAGACCCAAATCTTGATGCTTTAGCACACACTGTGTTAAAAGCCTACTGTGGCTGGAGAGGAAGAAAAGAAATTAAGGCATTTTCTTTGATGGGAGCATCTCAGAGATTTGGAGAGAATGCTGTTGGGGCAGGACAATGAATAAAAATTAATAAAACCACGACCAAATTCAAACAGCCACGTCCCAGGGGTGTAAGAAAAGCCCCTGTGTGTACCTTTGAGGGGGGTAATTTTCCCTTTTCCCTCATTTCTACCTGTTTTAAAATTACTATTATTTCCCAGGGGTTTAGCTGAAGGCAAGAGGTGTGACCAGAAACCTTCAATATTGCTCATTAAACTGGTTTTATTGACCAAAAGTTGTGTGTTGGAAGGGGGGAAACTTTTAACCTGTAAACAGGGGCAGATCCTCCTCCTTGTTGTTCTTCCAGCCCCAGTGTCTTATCCCTCAGGTGACCCTTGGAGATGTCACAGGAACCCTCAGGGACGGTAAATCCTGGTTTTTGAGGTGGGAATGGGATGTATTTGTGGAGCAGGTGTGGCAGGCAGGACAAGGATGCTGAGGTGAGACAGCAGCCCTGCAAAATCCGGGATGGAAAGTGTTATCCCTGAGGAAAAACATGCACAGCAGGACAGGGCAGGAGGTTGTGCCCCCACACAGGGGAGCAAAAATCGGCTTAAATTAGCAAAGTGCCCAATTAGGCACAAGTCAGCTCTGAATTTGTGGAAAATGGGAGAAAATAGGCAAAGTTCAGCTCTGAGGGTCCATAAGAGGAAAATGGTTGTGGCGTTTCAGCCTTGGGAAGAGTCCTGTAGAGGGATGATTCCAAGGGGTTTAACCTTAAATTAAGCCATTTTTTAAGGCCATGTCCCCTCCTTCAAAGGGAAATATGTGGCAGAAGAGTCGAGGTATTCAGCCAGGAGGGCAAGAACTGTTTAGGGTGGGGGAGAGGCTCCTGCCTGGGCCACGCTGCAGAAGTGGCTCTGACCCAGCACTGGAGTCACTGGGGGTGACTGGTCCAGATGGGGAGTCAGGGGGGATAAAAGAGACAATTCCCAAAAGATACCCGTGATTGAAAACATTTTAATACAATTTTTAGTACAAACAGGAAAAAGAAAAAAAAAAAAAAAGGCATTTAAAAATCCCCCACCCATCCCTCATCCCGTAGAAAAATTAATGGAATTTTATATTAAAAGAATAAAAACATTCTTTACACAACACTGCGATATAAAAAGGCCTTTTTAGTCGATTTTTTTTGGTGGGTTTTAAAGCACAAGGTTCCTTCTCAAACCTGATGGGTGAAGCCAACCTACAAGCACTGCTTTCTCCCTGAGGGGTGCAGGACACAGTTTTAATTTTTGCAGTTTAAAAGAGAAAGGGGCAGGTAGTGCAGGGGGAAGGGAAAGAAAAATAGCATTGCTTCTCCTCCAGCACAGCCTGGGATCCAGAGCAGGTCAACAGAGGGAAAGGAAATAAAATAGAAGGAAAGAAAACATAATGGAGAAAAAATAGGGTGAAATAAAATACGGCAAAATAAAACAGAGGAAGAGAAAATAAAATAGAGTCAAATAAAAGAATATAGTGTAAAATAAAATAAAATAGAGCAAAATAAAAGAAGATTGAGGAAAATAAAACAAAATAGAGCAAAAGAAAATTTTTTAAAAATCAGCTCTTTCATCTAATTGGGGTTAAAAAATAAAATAATAAAAAATAGATAACCAAGGTGTTTGGATTGTTTCCAGTGTCTTTCCCTGTGGGTTGGCTGGTGCCACAAATGCAGTAGGGCTGGAGGGATGGGGTGTGGGGGGTTTGGGGGGATTTACAGATAAATTGGAGCTTTGGCAGTTGCAGAGCAATTAGCAGCAGTGGTGTGGAGGTCAGAGGAGGCAATTAGCAGGTTGGGTTTGGAGCCTTCACCGCCTGCTCCAGGGGGTCCTGTTCGGGAAGGGGGATTTGGACCCAGCAGGGAGGCACCAAAATTTGGGGCTCTGTCCATCTGCCACTTGAAATAGTTGAGTTGGGCACCAAAAATAAAAACAAACCCTCCTTTGTGCTCAGAGCCCCCTTATTTTTGCTGCTTTAATTTGCCCAAACCCGTTTATTCTTCTGTTGAACAAGGCACAGCCTGGTCCTAGGAAGGAACGAGCCCAGGGCAGTTTTTTTTTGGCTGGCAGAGCTCAGCTGGAGCAACTGACCTCCAGGCAGGAATTAGTAATAATTAATAACAATTTTTAAAACCCGTGGGTTTAGGTAGCAATGAGGTGGAGGAATGCTGTGCACTGGAAGCATCCCTCTGCCAAGAGCAGGGCATGGGAATGCTCGAGCCCTGAGTGGGGCTGGGGCTGGTAGGTCTGAAAACCTCATCTCAGGAGAACCAAGCACTGGCTTCGCTCCCCACTCGCTCCCGAAAACAGGCTGTGGGAGAGGGGTGGTCATGGCACAAAGTGCTTCTGTGCAGCACATCCCCATGGGATCAGCTTTGTGCCCCTGTGGCACTGGCATCAGCCTCCCCCCATTGCCCCTGCAGCGTCCCTGTGACGGGTGGACACGGCCCAGCAACCCCAGGGGGCTGGGGGTGCCACCCTGCCCACCTGAGGGGACCGTGGCACTGATGGATACGGGAGCTGTGACCCTCAAAACCCCCTATTTTAGGGGCTGGCACCGCAAATGGCGCTGAAACCTGGAAGATGAGGAGGAGAAAGGTCTCGTGGAGCATTCAGGGGACCAGGTGGGGTGGGAGCACCGGGGTCTTGCCGGTTTTTGGGAGGGGAGGGAGGCACCAGGCGGTGGGAGGGCAGGGTGAGGGCTCAGACGTACTCCCGGGACGTGGAGGGCTGCGACTGCCGGTGGTACTGCTGCGCTCGGCGCTCCTTGGCAGGGCAGGAGCAGCACAGCAGGGACCCCCCCAGCATGGAGAGCCCGGCGGCCCCCCAGCCGACGAAGAGAGCAGAGCCAAACTCGTACCTGTGGAGAAAGGGGTGGGGGAGCATCAGGGAGGGGGCAGAGAGGCAGAGGTGCAATAGGAAGCTCGAAGCCCTGATGGAGGCGACGGCAATGCCGAGGCAGAGTTTGGTTCTTCCCTCTCCGTCCCCATCTTTCATGTTGGCTGGATCCAGCTCCTACATTTCCCTGTCCTTTAACCCTCCCTCGGGCTGAAACTCCCCCTGTGCACCATTAGCCTGTCCCAGCTGGTAACAACAAAAGCTTTAGCCTCGGGGACACCTTCTGCAGGGTGGCAGTGAGGGGTGGCAGAGGTCCCTCCCGTGTGGCACATCAGCCTTGCCAACACCACCAAGGGAAGGTCCAGTGGGAAGTGCAGGGACAAGATGGGATTCAGATGCAGAGCACCCCCCGAGCCAGGCTCTCACCTGGCGTTGATGGGCACGGCGCTCTCTCTGAAGAACTCGTAGGTCACCTGTGTTGCGTACAGGGACACGGCAGCCAGCGAGCACAGACCTGGGCACGGAACCATGGAATCACAGAGTGGTTTGGGTTGGAAGGGTCCCTGAAAGGTCACCTAGTCCAGCCCCCACCAGACATCAAATGCTGACCATCAGTGACACGGAGCCTTCACTGAACGCTCCAACAAACGGCGTTCAGAGGCGTTTGAGGATCCCTGCACCGGTGAGGTGCGAAGGCTGGAGCTGCCTTACCAGAGAGGATGAAGAGGACACCTCCAGCGACAGCTATGCGGCTTTTGGTGACAGGATCCTCCTCCCCAACTTTAGTGCATTTCATGCCCACCACGCTCACGATGATGCCGAAGAAGCCCAGGAGGAGAGAAATGACCATGAGAGCCCGGGAGGTCTGGATGTGAACTGCAAGGGAGGGGAGAAAAGCTGCTCCCAGCAGGTGGCTTTGGCCACAGCCTGGCACTGGAAGCAAGGTCACCTCGTCCCACGCTGGGGATGGATGTGTCCTTAACCCTGTCCTCACTGTGTGACTCCCATGTCACCTCTTTCCCCACCTGGTGGGTACAGAGATCTCAGCTCAGCTCAGGGCACCACCCCCAACACCACCCCTGACCTTTCCCCCTGCCACACTCATCCTCCTCATGATTGTCTGGGCTGGGAAACACCTTGCCCTGAGCAGCACCACAGTCCCCAAATACCACAGGGGTGATCCACAGCCTGGGGCTGTGGGGTGGGGGGAGGTTGTGATGCCCCCATGGGGCACTGTTGGTCCCCAAATGTGACACCCACCCTGGAGCTCAAACCCACCAGGGTCAGGGGGCATCTCAGCCCCACAAAGGGGCTCGAAACCACAGGGCCAAGAGAGGCTCAGCTGTGGTGTGGGGAGCTCAGATTCACGGATGGAGGGGGGAAACCTGGGCCCACGTGGAGGCTCAGTGGATGGGTGAAGTGGGCTCAGAGGCATATTAGAGGGGCTCACACCTAGGGTGAGGTGAGGAGGGCAAGAAGGGTTTGGATCTCCAGAAGACTCTGGAGGGGCCAGGGGGAGCTCAGACCCATGGAGGGGGAAGGGGGCACCCATACATTGAGAGGATACAAACCCACATAGGTGGGTTCAAACACTGAGAGGGGCTTGGAGCCATATGGGGGCTGTCAAAACCACAGCAGGGCTCAGACCTGCAGGGTGGGGTG